AAATTACATTTCAGTGTTAAACGGACTTTGCTTTCATTTTTTTTCTAATCAAATTTCAAACTGTTTAAAATAGATTAATAACATATAAATTAAACAAGTCAATCATACCGCTGATGGTTTTGGCTCTTTTGAAAATTATATTTGTCAATATTTATATATATTTCACATAGAGATCAAAAGAAGAAGTTTTCTTTCTTAATCAATTTTTATATTCTTTTACACAAAAACCAAAAAAAAAAAAGACAGAACAACGCATTGTACGTACACGTAATACATACACTTACAATTGTTTTTCACTACAATGAATCACTTGTAAGTTAGTTCACATCATCAATTATTTGATAGACACATTATAATACTACCGCACATCTGTTGTGTAAGTGATGAAGAGAATTTCTACAACAATACAAGTCGGTAATTTTCTTGTATCTTCTTCATTTTTCTTCTTATGTTACTTATTGAACATCAAATAATAATAACAGTTAGCTTTTTATTGATTTAATTACTTTTCTCATTAACATCATCATCATCATCATCATAGTAGTAGTATGTTGTTGCATTAACTGTAGGTGCGCAGTTAAATTTTACAATGATTATTATTATTATTATTAGTGAAAAAAAAGAAATATGCATATTTTGCATAAACTTATTGTCTAGTTCCAATAAATACATCACATTAAGAAAAAAAATAAAAGTATTTTTTTACATCGGATACAGGTCAGTAAAGAAATATCAGTTTGTTTGTTTGTCTGTTTGGAATATGAGCAAAGGACAACTATGTCAAGGTTATTGTTGTTGCGTCACAAAAAAATGTGCACACTAATATATATCATAGGCCATTTTTTTTACATGTGAATAATATTCAAGTTCAGAATGCCCTGTAGGGCAGCATAAAAAACCATCATATTACAATTCACGTGATGTTGAACTATGTTTTATTTTTTTTCAGACAAGTAACTTGTATCATTACCGTTGTGATAAGTAAAATGTAAACAGCACTTTAAAGACTAGACAAAGGTTACTACTAATTTTTAAATTCCGTTTATTTGAGAATAATTTCTTGTCCAATCAGAGGATTCTTTTGTTTTTATACACATTTGAAATCATCAATCAATCAATCATTGTTTGAACACCGTTAGAAACCAGGAAGCACTGGACGATGCCCGTTTCGTCCTGGTATGGGACTCATCAGTGGCAGTGCGTATCCACGACTGCTGCAGCTCACAGGATTCAAAACTGGGACCTTCGGTATTCAGAGCAAATACCTAACCTCTGGACCACTGGGCCAGCATCCAGAGGTGTTAATTTCGAACTCTGATTGATGAACCCCATACCAAGACGAAACAGCCGTCTTTCAGTGCTTCCAGATTTCCAATGGTGGTCTAACAATGATTGATTGATGATTTCAAATGTGTTAAAACACTAATCTTAATAACTCTAATTGAAGATTCTTTTATTGTTGTTGTTGAAATTCCTGTTATTTTGAACACCGCTGATAGGCCTGGGTTTATTTATGATTCAAATTATGATTTCTGAGCTTTATGATAAAAAAAAAGCTAAATAGGTCATTTTTATCTGGTTATCGAATTATTTAGTAATAATAACAATAATAAATTTTATTCTCAAATAACAACGTGTTTCAAGAGGCATGTCAGTTAACAGGCTAGATCAAAGTGTTACAAATGATACCACATTTACTGTAAAAGTTAGCGCAGTTCGATTAGAAATAAGAGTCTGTTTCTGACAGTACATTAACACCATGTCACTGCAAGGAACAGTTTAATAGAGCCGCATTTTCAATAAGTGAGTACAAATAGGGAAGGTACACAGAAGAGTTCGCGGTTTGTTTGCATAATTCAGGAAGTGTCGATTTGAAGGCTCTTGATACAAGCTGTAACCTAGACGTGTACATACATAAGGTGCATTTTGTGTGGAGGCATAATGGATGATCTATTGTGAATAGGGTTCTGAGAATTACTGTTCAAGTTATTCTAAAACAACTCATAACAGAATATATTTATTATGTAAAGATTGAGTGAAATATTCATTACAAATGAATAGAATATGAGTATAAGTGAAATTCCCGGTGCTGTTGATATCAAATCTGGCACCCATCGGATTTGAGTTGATGTTCATGCCAATATCGTTTTTTGACTTCAAAATCTTAACGCATTTCCTTTCGCATACTTAGTTACTACTGTATTAAGACTGCTGCTCACTTGTGCTATTAGTATCAAATCTGTTTCCCCTAAGTATGACACAGAATACGGACGTGCCAATTGAAACTGTTAAAAATTATCAACGAGATAATCGATATATATATATATATATATATATATATATATATATATATATATATATATATATTTAAAATATAGTAGTGCAATTGAAAACGAAAAAAAAATACTCATTTAATTCTTGAATGTTGCTATCCTTTTTTTGTTCAAAGAGAATGTACATACTCAAAATTTTCAAAAAAAAATAGGTTAAGCGAAAAAGCTCTTTTTTTTCAGTACATATGATTTATTGTGAATGTAGCTTACTAAAATTATATCTTACTAAAATATCGATGTATATTTTAAAATTATTCAGATAATGATTATATTACTTTTAAGTTGATTTTTTGTCTTGTCCAAATTCATCACTGATTTTTAAAGCGAACTGTGTAGCAGAGTCCACGTTTAAATTTGAGAAAATCTCAACCCTGAAATGTTGGAATGATTAAGTCTACTAGACATGAGTGAGATTAATCAATCGAACTTCTAGATTTGTTTATCTATAGACAATAGTGTAACAATTTTTTTTTATTTAGGTCGTATACACAACACACAGTATAGTTTGGTCATATTATTATTTAAAAAACGGTATAATTGTAAAATGTTTGCCTTCTTTTTTGAAAAACGAAAGCTATTATGAGTATATCCTTTCAACCGAGAGAGTGTATAACTTTTGCCATAAGCTTTAAATCTTGTACCTATTATTTCGCGGTCCACGGTCAGTTTGCATTGAGGTAATTTAGACATGAATATACTGATTTTCAAGTTGTACTAAAATAATGTTTGTAAAAAGACAATAGGGTAAACGATGGTTAGGCACTTTGAATGACATGGCGCTGATGCATCCATTCTTTGTGCTCTGTCAAATCCTCATCTTCAGAATTACTCATCACCTTTATCTTTTCACTTTTTTGATTTATCTCACACGGTTATACTTCTTGAATGGTGATAATATTAATAATAATAATAATAATAATAATTGAATTTCTGTGGTAATGCGGTGTAGCAAACTGAACTGATTTACTTACATACGAAGTTGTACTTTGTAGTTGACTGAATGTTTGGAAAAAGTAACACATACACGAGTTTAGAACTTGCCTTTAAAATATAATCATCTTCATACACACACGATGGAATATGTGTATTGACTGATACACTCATTGACGTAATTTAAAACATTGATACTTATGATAGCTATCTTCTTGTTTTAGTTTTTTTGAAAATGTTATGCCTCAGTGTGATGATACTGAGAATCCTTGGAATGAAATCATTTTTTATTCGTTGCAAAATAATCTCTGTCCGTACAGTCGAGATTTTTTGGACATTGACTAATCATTGGTAAACCATCATTAGAAATCTGGTAGCACTGGACGGCTGTTTCGCCCTGGTATGGGACTCATCAGCAGAGCGCATCCACGACCACTGCCATTCGCAGGATTCAAGCCAAGGGACTTCGGTGTTGCGCGCGAAAGCCTAACTTTTGGACCACTGTGCTGGTATCCAACGATGTTAATGTCTAACTCTGATCAATCTACAGATTTCGCGCAACCTCACCCACTTGTCTTTGGTAGTTATTGACTACGCCTGACAGGGTTGATCTCCACTGGTTATGTCTTCTCACTAGAACTCCGAGAATTTCTTCACTAGGCTAGTTACTAGTGAGCACATTTTACGATTTTTCAATTAAAGTATTGAAGATTAGTGCTTTTCGCACATTGAAATCATCAGTCAATCATTGTTAGACCACTATTAGAAACCTGGAAGCACTGGGCGACCGTTTCCTCCCAGTATATATATATATATATATATATATATATAAAATAAATTTTGATGTCTGATTAGCAATTTTTCTGATTTGGAAATAAAATACCAAAATGTACTATTCAAGAAAATGAAATGCACCAGCCTAACTTGTTGTATTGAGTTAGTTTTCATTTTAAACATGATCAGCTTAAAAATAAAATTGTACGCTTCACTCACTCACTTCTCACTGATAAATTTTTACATCTCTGCTACCACAAAAAATGCATTGAGTTAGATGGTGGTGGTCAGTTTATCCATGTTGAACTAAGGTCTACAAGTAGTAGTAGTAGTAGTGGTAGGTAGGTAATTGAAATATGACAATCTAAAAATATATTCGAATCATGTAATCATTGCATGTATATGTGCTGAGTATTTTTTCTGTTATTCATTATTTGATAAAACAATCAATCCTGTTGTCAAATTTGAATAGTGTTTTACTGAGAAGACAAATATATATATTACTTATTTACTGACACCTATTACCCCCCAATGGAGTATAGGCTGCCAACCAGTGGATTATATTTCTGGTTAGCCTCCTGTTTTTTTGCGAGTTGGATTTCTACGGAATGGGACCGTCAAGCCCATGCCCAACCCTCTTCCTCCTATATCCGGGCTTGGGACTGACAGTAACCCTAGAAGGGCTCCAGGTGGAGTTATGGTTGTTACTTTGTCATGTTTTTATTTTTCTACAAGTTAACCAAACAATAATCGATCATATAAAGAAGTAATCAAAGTTTTAGTTTACTAGAGATCTTGATGCTATAGGTTACTTCATCAAATGAAGATTTTATAAAGTCGAAGTACATTCAACTCATAGTAAAACAACAAACAATTGACTGAATTTCATTTTGTTTTCTTTCGTTCAATGTTTTTATTTTTTTACTTCATCACTCATGCATTATTGTTTTCTCTAATTTCCAGGTTTCAAGGCGTACCGGAGTGGATTTTAAACAAATTCGATTTTGGAGTGCTTTTTATTGTTCTATATTTGGTTTTATATTTGTTGGTTGTAATATATCTGGCATAGCTAAACATATAAGACGATCCGTTGAAGAATGTTACAATTCATTTATTGGATTTTTCTTTTTACTTAAAGCATTATTTACAATGTTTTTAGTAAGTGATGATTGCAATTCTGTGATTTTGTTTGTTTTTTTCTCATCGCAACGATTTAATTGCTTCTAATTCACGTTTTGTGAGTGGTGTTCATTGTCGGGAAAGGTTACAGACTATTTGTATTTCCTTATTACGGAACTCTCCAGTATTGATCAGGTACAGCCCTTCTAATATATAATCAAGCAAGCATATGACTACTGGCAGGAGGATCAACCAGTCTATTCACAATTATTTAAACTAACCCCCTATTGTCAAGGGAAATTTTACATTGGTTTTCAGGATAACAAAGGAGATTGTCCACGTGTTAGCAGTTTGAGGTGATTAGTTCGACTCAATCCTGTAGTGCAACCATGCAGTTAGGTACCTGACACGCTGGTGGACCATTCACACCATTTATATACAATAATGCATATACAGTGATTATTTTCGATCCATGATCGCGACAATGCAACCCATCCTGTTTACATGACTGTCAAACTCATTATTATTAGCAATGGGGGTATACAATATACAATACAGCAACCCAATGATAATGGCCCTCAGGAATGTTGCAAAACAACCACCAGTATCAATGAAATCGGTTAACCTGCTAACTGATTTTGTATATGGACTGTTAGCAATGCTTTTCAAAACAATTCTAAGCCATCGACAATGTTCACAGCGAACCTCTAGTCTCATAAGGGAATTTTCAGCTCTATATAGCTCTATATAATTCACAGTAGTCTATAAATCATCATATAATCAAGTCATCTAATGTTAACACTGTACAAGATGACTTACTTTGTACTACTTCAATTAGGCGAGAATGAAAAACGGCAAACATGTTGTTTCATTCAAGTACAATCATTCCAAAATATATTTTTTAAAAGATATCACTGGTTTGACATTGCATCAAATCGCTTTACTTGAAACATTCCCAATACTGTTTTGAACACTTTAAATGCTTTCACTAAAAACTTTTCCCTAAAAGTTTACATCATTAAAAAAAAATGATTAGCTTTAAAGTAGGAGACAGCAAAACAGTTTCTTTTATGTTGAAAAAAAATACTTCGTTTGATGTGAAATAAAAGGTAGGATAGAGAAACAAACGTTTTGTTAATTATATCAGTAAATATATCAATGGAGTGAGCATTTAATTGAAAGTTGCCTATACATTAGAATAATTCAACTTCTCACGAAACTGGTTGCCAAATTTTTACCGTTGACGTCTTTCTTTTATTTACGTATTCAAAGTAGTCATTTTTGGGGTTAGTATTTCCTCTTAATAGTGTTGAAATCGATCGGGTTGTTAAGAGAGTCATGTTTTCTGAGCTGAATAGTTTAATTATGAAACTCGCTGCTATTGTTTTATCAAACAGCATCGACATAAAATTCATCCACTTGTTTGTAAAAAGATTTGTGTTCAAGTTTTCATGATGACTGATATTCAGAAATGTCTCCTAACGCTTAAATAGTCCTAACGTCTAGGGCCTGATGAAATGTCAGACCTTTTTATAAGACGTGTGCTAATATCCCGCGTCATTCATTCACGAAAATCTTTGATAAATACTTCTCAACAAATTTTATACCGGAAATGTGGAAAATGATAAAGATAATTACGATTTTAACGAAAGGATCTAGTGTTGAGAATGCAACATTTAGACCTGAAGTAATTACTTCACCTTTTTTGAAAACATTGGAAAAACGTTTCTTCAGAAAATACTTGTGTTTAGCATGAAAATGATTTCACTGAACGATAGTCTATCGTTAGTGGCACATTGCTTAATCTTCCAAAATGTCAAACTGTTAACTTTAGCCTGAGACATGAACAGAACTTAAATAACTTTTTGGAATCTGAACAGATCTGCATCATTGGAGATTCTATGATCAAAAGTGTGAAAAGTTATTTATTTTGGTATGAGTTTTTTTCCTGATTCTTCTTGGTCTTGTCGTGTTTTACTGATATCAAAGAAAGTTTACCGTTTGTCTCATTACATAAAGAAGATCTGTGCTTTTGACATTACTTGATATTCACTTATCCTTTACAGTTCCTCATTATACTTCCCTGTAATTTTGAGAAGAGGTTTGGCCATGTTTCATCCAATGTTGTAGATGGTTAACAGAGTTTGTGGTGAATCTCTTGTAGTCATTAGGAATACGGTGGTGGATAGTGTTTGGGAAGTTAGATCCCTAGAACTCACTTGAAAGAGGTCTTAATTTTGGATATTTGTGTTTTTGCGCATGAGCTGATCATTTCAACTTGAGATTAGATTTACCTCCCGGAAAATCCTTGATTGTTATTGGTTGATGTATTATTTTAGTACGCTATTATTGTGACTCTCACAAGGACGTTTCTATGATGTATAAATAAACTCGATTAGTGTGTTTGTGAACCTCATATTTTCTGGATGCTTGTAGAATACACTTTCTACGTCTTGTTAAAACTTCTCCCTCTACTTAGTTGGGCCTTGGGACACTCGGATTAGCGTAGTCTATTGTGCCACTGGATCATTTATCTTCGCTCTCATTTACCGACTAAGGTGAACTTGTAATGGCATTCAGGCATATCAGTTGACGAGCATATCATACAGGCAATTAAAAGCTTGCAAATTCCAGACAAGTCTTATCTCATCACATACTTCTTACTAACCAACCATCCACTTCATTCACAACTTTCTCCGCGTAAACCTACTGGTAGAACAAGACGTCAATACATTAGAATCCGTGCAGGCAAACAAAAACTATACAAGCTCCATAACAGCATATTTATTTACTAGACTATGTACAAAGAACATGTGAGAAGAAGCACTGGCCTAATCAAAAACTCTTATAATATATTTCAAAATCTGTTACTAAATTAAGAAAAAAAAATTCTTAAGATTCTCATCATTTACTATTTCATCATTTGAATGAATTCTAGGGTAGTCTGTTTACTGACATTGTTTTTTTTTCTTTTGTGTATTCATGTGTATCCAAGTGATTGATTGTGCGTTTTTCTCTTGTTGTTTTATGTTTCATTGGGAAACTGGTTGAAATATATTCCATGTTGTAGCCAAATTCCATATTCCATATTAAACATTGAAAAAGATTAGAATAAAGAAAGCCATGATTATTATTATTATTATTATTATTATTAGCAAATCGTCGTTTCTCAACCATCTGAAAATTTCTAGTGTCGTCTCTATTGCCAAGAAATTAATTTTTAAATAGTTTTTTTTCTTCTCAACTAAAGGAGAAGAAGACGAATATAAATAATTCTGAATTATAAACAATACATTTTCATGACAAATATTATTATTCAACTCATTAATCGAATAAGAATTTCATTCAACTGACTAAAAAAAAATATTAGTTTGTTATATTATTTATTTGTTGGTTGACTCTCTCCCTCTCTAGCTCTCTCTCTCTCTCTCTCCAAATTTATTGTATGAAAACTGAATTCTTGAACAAATAATAACCCGAATTATTTAAGGTTTAACAGATAAAACTAACAACAGCATTGCCTTTGCATGCAATTAACAAGAGAACTAAAAAAAAATACTGGGGTGTTATGTCAATTTGCTTATGAATAAATAATAGTTAGTTAGATCGAGTGAATTTCATAGAGAGAAGAACCAGTAGACCAGCAACATTAAAAAAATATCGTGAATTGCAAAAAATACAGTTGAAATCATCAATCAGTCATCATTGGCAGACCACCATTAGAAACCTGGAAGCACTGGATGATGAGGTTAGACGTTCGCTCACAATACCGAAGGTGCCGGGTTTGAATCCCGCGAGATGCAGGAGTCGTGGATGCGCACTGCTGATGAGTAGTAGTCCCATACCAGGACGAAGCGGCTGTCTTTCAGTGCTTCCAGGTTTCAGATAGTTGTCTGACAATGATTGATTTATGATTTCAAATGTGTAAAGACACTAATCTCCATAACTCTAACTGAAAAATACTGTTGACTGATGTGTTTTTTTTTTATTCCGTTATTTCATCATGTTTTTGATAAAAATTCTCTTTTATTTTTATTCATACCAAAGTCTCGTCCACTAGTATCTCTCTAGGGTCAGGTAGTAGGATAAAGCTTGAAGTAAAAATTTTCAGTATATCGTTAAAGAATGTTTACTTTTCTCTCTCTTTAGCGAGGTGAAGAACGATTGGAAACTTTTTTATTGCATATTTAAAACAAACTAATCTGAAGATAATCTTCAGATTTTAAAACATATTATTTCTTGAGGATTATTTCTTCAGTGATTTTTTTTCTCTATCAGCCCATTTTGTCATCGTTGTTTTTCTAATTTCAAATTGTGTTTTTCTGTTTAAAGATGAGATAATTATGTACCAGAATTCTCCGACCTACTCAATCCTGCGCCTTCTTTTCTAGTTCTGTCCAATTATTGTTCATTCTTCTCATGTCAATCTCCATTTCTCAGAGTAATGTCTTCATTGGTCTATCTCTTTTCATTAGACTGATAGTTGCGAATCAGGGTTTGTATTGTGATGCAGTTGGGTGATTTCCTCAGTGTCTATCCTACCCAGCTACGTTACACTTTCCTAATTTCCGTATCTTATATAAACAACTGTCAGTAAACGTCTGTATCTTTTGAGTGATGGCTTTGGAAGTTCTCCCTCCAAGTTTCCGCTTCGTAGAACAGAACTGTCTTGACGTTCGTATTGAAAATCGTAACGTGTTGGTTGACGGTTGTTTTTGGTTACAGATGTTATTGAACTGTAAAAATGCTGCCGTTGCTCTTCCCATTCATGTCTTTACATCGGTGTCAGATCCAACTTGTTTATCAGTAATGCTGCAGGGGCATGTCAAAGTTCTCACATCTTCCGGTGCCTCTCCATTAATCGTGATTCGGTTGATGCATACTGTCTTATGTCGGATGATCTTGCCCTTCCTTACCTTGTGTACGCTGAAACCTACTGTGTTTCATGAATTTTTATGTATGAAGTCTTATGATTTTCTAATCATATTTGTTATCAATGATAATAATAATTATTATTTTTTATATTTATTTTATAAATTTATATAGTTGATTCCCTCTAAACCTGTGGATAATACTCCAATGGCTAGAATGACATATTATCAAAAATTAGCAGTAGCTGGAGTTACACTATTTTTAGCATTTATAATGCTCCAGTTCTGTTTAATACTTGCCCAGTTAAAACGTGGAAATTATTTCAGAAGAAATGTAAGTTGAAGCGAGAAAAATATATTCGATCCATATATATATATATATATATATACTTTCGATCAATAATTTTATCCCTACAAATAAATCTGTGATTATCTCATCTATGAAAAAATGAATCACCTAGTTTCATTTGTAATCTTAATCGAAACTTCGCCGTTTCGAACAATAATACTAGTACTTTTGTTGATGAATATGACCGCTGAAGATGCATGCATAATTTGTGAACAATCTTTGAATGCCTGTTAAGGAGAAAAACTTCAATGATTTGTTAAAATTAATTCATCTTGATAAATTAGAATCAAGAATTAGAGAGAATGAATAATAAATCAAAATTACCAATAACAGTAAAGAAAGTGTTTTGTATGATCACTGTAGAGTAATGAGATTGAAGAATATACTAAGAGTAATATGAATAAACATGTTTTAGATGAGAGAAGACTGGAGCATCAGACAAACTAACACAAGATAGAGATAAAGAAAAGTAGTTGGATAATTGCATAACAATGTAGCTGAATCAGTAACAATTAAAATTTGAGAAACCAATTTGACTGTCTGTTATGATCATGTTGAAAGATTTCAGTCTATCAATTTGATGCCATTATGTGCTAGACAGATGCTTTGCAATAGCGCTAGGAGTAAAGAAAACATTTTTTTGTAAACAATGTGCTCACTGGTGAAATTCTCGGAGTTCTAGGGAGAAGACGTGACCAGTGCAGCTCAACCCTTTTTAGGTGTAGGCAGTTACTATTAAAGACAAATGCGTGAGGTCGCGCAAAATCCCTAGTTTGGTCCAGAGTTAGACATGAACACCGTCGGACGCCGGCTAACTGGTTCAGAAGTTAGGCATTCGCGCGAATGACCGAAGGTCTTGGGTAGCAGGAGTCATGGGTGCGCACTGCTGATGAGTCCCACACCGGGAAGAAACAGCCATCCAGTGCTTTCAGGTTTATAATAGGGGTCTAACAATGATTGATTGATGATTTCAATGTATAAAAACACTGACCTCCATCAGTCTAATTTAATAAAAGAATAAACCATTTTTGTACTAACCGAAACCGCCATTGTCATCTTTTTGGAAAATGGGAACCGACATTTAAACCAAAACATTTGGCGTTTCAGTTTTTTTGTACATTTATATCTTATCCTATTTAGGAGTGTTATTAATTTAATACAAATTAGATCTGATCAAATACTTAATTACCCCTCAATAAACTGTTATACATCGATAACATCAACAGTGCGCACTGATTTTTGTAAACTACTTATCGAAATCGACTACTTTATTTTCTCTGTCAGGAAATTAAACAATGATTTTGCATTATAGTGTTATGGATATCATTGATTGTACATACAAAAATCATAAATGAGTCATTGTTAGACAATCATTAGAAACCCAAAAGCACTGTACGGCCGTTTCGTACTCGTACCGGGATTCATCAGCATTACGCATGCACGATTCCTGCTACTCACAGTACTCGAACTCAGGAACTTCGGTCTTATGCGCGAACGCCTAACATGGAAAGGTTAAATCAGTCATGAGCCAACATATATATATATATATATATATATATATATATATATATATATAATTAGGTAGAAGTACAAGGAAGACAGGTGTACTATTAGTGTCACGAATAATAAAATACAATAACAAAAAATGTTAGTCCATAATTCAGCATTCATCCATTCAGCATTCAAACTGCGGAAATAAATAGGCTTACACTAATCATCATCACCACAAAACATCAAAGCCATTACGTAATAAGAAATTTGTCAATAATTAGATGCTGCTGATTGTAAACGGAAATAGCTGAAAATTTAGGAACAAATAGAAAATGTGAAAAAAATAATTAATTAAGTTATATCCGGTCAAGGAAGCGGTGACAGAAATATCACGGATTTCTTCTGAACACACACACATACATCAGAGTTAAATGTTTGTATTCCTCGTAACTTTTGCTAATGTATAAGAGATGGGATCGATCTTCGTCCGGAACGTATATGATAGATCACTATGTATGTAATAACAATCTTGTTTGCTTACATGTGTCAGTCTATTCATTTGCATATATTAATATTTTTTTTCATGAAATTGACCCGAATAATAAATAATATTATCATTCTATTCAATGTGTCTGCTTGTATTAGATTAGAAAACTTTTAGGCGCTTTAAATGTTCCACTCGGTATGCTTTTGATAACTGGATTAGAAAGAATATTTTTTCGTGGTTATAATTTACCAACTGTAAATATACCACCATCAAATCAAGTGAATATATCAGTATGGATTAATCCACCGGATTTTTCACGTTTACAAGATTATAGTAAAGCTACACCGACAATGATTCATGGTATCTCAGTTGCAATTGGAGTAGCATTAGCCATTATTATATTTACTGAAGCAGCTTTAAATGGGTAAGATATTGAAATTGGTTATGCTATTAACTTGTTGTATTGTTTGATCAGTCATTATTGAACAGTATAATGCTTTTCCTAACTATTCTCATTGTGTATGAATAGATGAAGTAATGAAAGTTCATCAGTTGAGGTGGTTGGGACATGTGTTACGTATGCCTAACCACCGACTGCCTCGACGAGTTTTGTTTTGTAGTGTAGCAGTAGGTTGGAAGAAAGTTAGGCACGACCAAACCGAAACATGGCAGCACTCCATGAAGTCACTAACAACTGGACTGAGTCATGGCGGTAGCTGTCGTCTACCTAGTTGGGGTCCGCGAGATGATAATAATCGATGGTTAGAGACCCTGAATGACATGGCTCAAAACCGTTTGCAATGGCGCCCGTGCATTGTGTTCTCTCAAATACTAATCTTCTGGATTCTTCAACACCTCTAGTTTTGTCTTTTTAAACTTATCTCACTGAATCATACTTCTTGAATAATATCTTCTAATCCTAACCTCTCCGATTACTTCTAATACCTTAACTACCTCTACTATTACTGGATTTGAATTAACAATTACATCTCTGTTCTAATGTGGTATGGCAACCTGAACTGATGTACTTACGTACGAATTTCTACGTTGCATCTGACTGACTGACTGATCACTGTGTATGTGTGCTCAGTCAACTGAAGAATCTGTGAACTGTCATAAATCACATTCACCCCTGACGATTAAACAAACATTACACAATAACTAATTCATATAAAAGCATTTCAGTCACCGGCTCATTAGCAGTTCCAATAGTTTTATGACAATCGCTCTGACTGAGGCATTGTCTGTAATCGGTTCAAGCACGCACTATATGATTAACTTACTGTTAGATCCCTAGGAACTCGCTTGATAAATATCATTATTTTGGTTTTATTTCATGGACCGATCAGTTGACCTTCAGATCACATTTCCTACCAGGAAAATCCTTGGCTGTGATTAGTTACTGTGTCATTTTAGTGCGCTATTTTTGTGACTATCCCAAGCACGTCTCTATAGAGTATAAATAAACGCAATTTGAGTGCTTGGATTCATTGTGTGCTGGCGGGGTGTTTGTAGAATACAATTTCTACTCTATATCTAAACTTCGCGCTGATACAATTTGGTCAAGGGATCACAGTAGCCTACCTGGACACTGGTTCATTGTTTTGTTCTCGTTATTCGACTAAGGTGAACTCGTACTACTCGCATACCTAGAGACCAGCGTAACACTTACAGAAAATTAAACGTTATAAGTTATAAGTCCATAGAGAGAAAGGTTATTGGGAGTGAAACTTCAGTGAGCTTTTCACTTCTCCGTGAGTTAAGGATATATATCTTTCGTCACTGAGTTAGATGCTTTCTAAAACTTCAGCAGTGTGTTAGGAGTATTAACAAGATTAAGTGACAAGATTTCTAGAACGAAAATGTGAAGTCTGTTTATAATAATCTAGCCGCATCGAGTTCGGTGAATAAATCAAAAGAATTTTCCCTATGTCTGAACGTTCCCAGATACTGTAGTTCAGTTTTTTTAATAACCTCCAACATTAGGTAATGTTTGTACACTTTGAAAACATTGACAATACAACAACTTCCATTCAGTTGGTCATAATGTGAAATTACTAAACATATTGAGAAAATTGTGTCCTTTCAATGTATTTAGGGGATACAGACGCCAATCAAGTTAACACATAACAATCACTCGATATCCAAGTAGAAATACTTATAACTAATCAATAACATGGTCAACATACGCAGAAGAGTTATAAAATGCCTAAATATATATTTCAAGTAAATACTTAAGAAGTTTTTCCAGAACGATAAGTAAATGCTCACATGGAAATCATTTAACTTCAAAACCTTAATGCCACAAATGTTATTTTATTTGAAGTTACTTATTTCGCTCTATCATGCACTTTTCGCAGTGAAAAAATACAAAATTCATCCATATATTACTCTTTAACTTGTTCATGGTGCCGTAATGAGTGAGAGCGAAATTATAAGTCTTATAGAGTTAACTATATTAGGTAGAAATAACTGAGCTGAGGTCACAAACTCTGATTAGCTTACTACCATCAATATTATTCAGCTCCTGTAAAAGAGTTTAGAAATGCTGTGAGTTCTGTTTCATTTAGAATTCACAACTAGAAAGAAATAGTTATTAGCCCCAGTTACTACATTTTGCTGTTCAATTGATCAAGTTAGACATTATTACATGTTTCGAAATCATGAATTGATCAATGTTAGATTAAATTAGAAACCTGGAAGCACTGGATAGCCTTTTCGGCCTGGTATGGATCTCATCAGTAGTGTGCATCCGCAACTCCCACTACCCACATGTATCGGACCCAGGACGTTCGGTCTTGCGCGAGAACGCCTAACCTATGGACCACTGAGCTAGTATCTAACGGTGCTGATGTGTAAATTCAATCAATCCACGTTTTCAGACATTACCACGGTTAAATAACAGCACATTGGTCCATAGGTTGGACGTTCTCACTCAAGACCGAATGTTCTGAGTTCAATTCCTGTAGGTAGAAGGAGTCGTGGATGCGCAATGCTGACGAATTCCATGACCACGACGAAACGACCATCCAGCGTTTCCAGGTTTCTAATGATGGTCTAACATTGATCGATTCATGTTTGATCTCAAAAATTAACTCAACAATCTTCACAACCTTATGATGTAAATTTACACGCTTACACCAAATTTTCTTGATAAAATTTATTTCTTGTCTTCATCATACAACAATTTTAATTGTATGTTATTCTAAAAAAATAAACCCTACTATACACGTTCATGATGGTATTTTTTATTATTATTATAATTATTATTATTATTTTTTCACACATTGTTTTTCTTATCACCACTTAATGCCACACGTTTTCTGCAGTAAATTCTGTTTTTTCTTTTATTCAAAACCCTCGTTTCTACTACTATGTTCATTCCATGAATCAATCAATCAATACTAACTAGTCCGAGGTTTATGTTTAACTTTGTGTTTAACTTTTTTGTATTTTCAATTCATATGATGCTTTTTACTCACGTGGATATGATTAATTGGAAAAGTGTCAATAAGAGATGCTACAGCTTGTACACACAAAGCCTTTTCTTTTTTTTACAACATGTAAAACATAAGAATCTGAATACTGTCATCTTATCCTTGCCTTTTCATTTCATATATAAATGATTTTCATAGTTTGTATAATATCGGTTGGAAAGCTTGTTCCTATTCGTGCCCAAAGATACTGTCCTTTACGTAATATTTTTTATGAGAATTAACTTGCGTTAGTACAGACAACTATGAGTGAAACGATCATATTGTTGAGAAACCGGTGTTAAAAAAACTACTTACAAGGCGCACACCAATTCTTAAAGAATTTAAATTTAGTAAGAATCTATGTGACTAAAATTGAATTTGAATCCGGCGGATTTTTGAGGGCAAAAACATTTAATGAGAGTTTAGTAGCCATTTTTTTAGTGAGTCGGATTTCTACTGGATGAGATTGGTAGCTCCATGCTCGCCCGACCCTCGTTTTTTTATTGAGACTTGAGAACGGCAGTAACTACCAGAACAACTCTAGACGGAGTTGGTTAGAGAGTATTGGTCGGTGGTCTATGTTCAACAGCTTATGAATTATTTCAGATCTCCTTAAAACTATCAAATTTGCCAGAACCATAAGATTTCGTGCATAGAGTTTTGATCGATCAATAAATTCCGATAGAATACAACCATTCTTCATTCGATTAGACGACTTATATCATAAAGCAAATACTTGGGATTTTTAAATCGACTAAAATTAGGTTTTCCAGTGTGCATACTGGATTATCATGACTAAACGCACCAGTTTTTATCAAAGGGCTTAGTGACTTAGTAACCTACTACTGAATTACTTACATCTTTATAATCGGTCGTGTAGCAAACATCGCCGACCAGGTACTTTCCAGCTTATTCTGTCTTTGTATGAGAAAATTGACACTGCCCTGTTATCACTAAAACCAACGAAAAACTATTCTGATTGTTTGTGGTAAGGTGTATATGGCTAATGCTTGTAAAAAACAAGGTTAAGATTTTTAATGCAGTAAAAAGTAAACTTATTCAGTCATATTTTAGCAGGCATTATCTCACTCATCAGTGATGCATTTTTACCTAATTTTTAAATCAAATCCTTTATTGATTGGCATCATGATTCCCTTTTTAAAAAAAAACCCTTATTTTGATAATATTCAATGTTATTCAGTATTTCTTTTGTTTGTTGAAAGTAACTATTAAGAAAACCCAATAAGTGTACGAATTCAACTTTGTCTCTACAATACATCTGACAGCATCTATCCCAATGGGCGTGTAATCCATGTTACCTGATGTCATTTAACCAGATATAGATTTCACAGAATTTTTTGAATAGTATAGTTTGATTTTTTCTTAGTTGAATTAATGATTGAAACTTAAACTAAACAATTTGTAAATCTATATAAATAAAGATGAACCTAAATATCGACTGATTCATGAATGTATTTGTCGATGAAAAAAGAAGAAAACAATTACTGATCAGCATTACGAGGTTGTGACGATTGTTGAGTTACACATTTTTTTTGAAACCGTGAATCGATCAATGTTAGACCACCATTAGAAACCTGGAAGCACTGGACGGCCGTTTCGTCCTGGTATGGGACTCCTCAGCAGTGCGCATCCAGTGGTGATCCGATGGTTAGGCGTTCGCCGAAAGTCCCGGGTTCGAATCCTGCCAGGTGCAGGAGTCGTGGATGCGCACTGCTAATGAGTAGTCCCATTTCAGGACGAAACGGTCGTCTTGCAGTTCTTCCAGGTTTCTAATGGTGGTCTAACATCGATCGATTCATGGTTTCAAAAATGAATTACTAATTAGTCAACTGTAGGCATTCACCAATAACATTTCCTCCGAATATTTTGATAAAGCTGTTCAATCAGTCTTCAGGATTTACATGAGTATTTGCTTACGGTGTATGCATTTTTATTGTGGAGACAATTGAAGAGAAACACAATGTTTTCAGTGGTAGTGTTTCGTTTTCTCTGAGCTGGATGTTTCGGTTGTGGAGCTATCAATGTTCCTCATCTATACAACAGTATCAGCACAAACTGCAGTTAGAATGAATGAATGGATCAGTTTCATTTCTTGTTACTGATATCAAAGTTCATCAATAAAAAAGGAAAACATTTTGATGAGGATGAAGAAAATGTGTAGCTCAGGTGTGGATGATAATTGTGGCAGCGTTTCGTTTTCTCTGAGCTGGATGTTTCGGTTATGGAGCTATCAATGCTCCTGCTTTGTACAACAGTATCAGCACAAACTTCAGATAGAAGTGAAGTGATCATGTTGTTCAGAAGAAGAATAATAAAGAAATCTTCATAACCAAAACACCCACTTAAGATAAAATGAAACACCACCACAATCATCATCCACACCCGAGATACAAATTTTCTGCATCCTCATCAAAATGTTTTCCTTTTTTATTTTATTGATGAACTTTGATATCAGTAACAAGAAGTAAAACTGACCCCATTCATTCATTGTTCATGAGCCATTCTTTTTTTGGCTAAAATCAAAATTTACTCTATCTAATAAATATATTAACAGCATTTCACATAAAATAACAAGTTCTTTAAATTAACGTTAGAATTAAAACATACAAAAACAATTGATTGTTTTCAATGACCTTCTATGCTTGTTTAAATCATATCCATATAAACAAAAAAAAAGAGAATATAACCTGATTTATGTTTTCAATTAGATAAAAAAAAACATCATTTTTAATTTGACTGTTGAATTATTTTCTAATTTTCATTTATGGAAAAATTAATTGCGCTCATTTATTATTATTATTAGTATGCTTAAATTTTTTCTATATTTTAAGCGAATCAGTTTATAGTAAAGATGTCAAGTTAAATTTAAAGTGATATTCACAATAAGATTGATCTAAATCGAAGGTTCCAGTTCGTATAGTGAAAAAAAACAACTATACAATTGGTCATGGTTTGAAATTGTGCTGTTTAAAGTCAACTCGTACGAAAAATTTCAATCTATAGAGAAGTGTATTTACTGGAAAGTTTCTCAAATTCTAGTGTAAAGTCATGATTTATGAAATTGAGACAGCATTTTTTGCACAAATGAAATATGTTTCCATTTCTCAACTGTTATTCTTCTCAATGAAATCATGACTTCATCAACGTTAGATCACCATTGGAAGTACTAAACGGATGTTTTGTCCTAGTATGGGACTTATCAGCAGTGAGCATTCACAACATCCAACTCTTGTCAATGAGTGAGAATAGTATGATAGTTATCAAACGTTGACTGGACTCGTCAACACCTCTACCTTTGTCTTTCTAAACTTATACTTCGTGAATAATATCTTCAAATTTTAATCTTCTCCATTAGCAGTAATTGTTCTGCTACCTCGACCACTATGGAATTTGAATGGACGATTGAGTCTCTGTGCTAATGTGGTATGGCAACATGAACTAGATGTACTTACTTACGAAGTTCTACGTTGTAACTGACTGACTGACTGACTGACTATCAAACGTTGACCGGAAGACTTTTTTCCTTCCCGATACATTAGTGCTCCACTCGATCATGTCTTTTCATTTGAAAATCAAGAATTCATAGTCGGTTTAGTCACAAAGGAGAACTACTTAACTTTACGAAACTGCTTTATTCATTTGGCTTGTCTAATTGACAACTAGACTGTAAAATTCTAATATCCGTTCCTAATTACTTAGCACATCACCTAGTTCATTCTTTTCCTTATTAATCATGCGATGTAGTACGTTGAAACGTATTCCTGTCTCTCTAATACCAGTTCTTACTTTTGTACATTCAGTTGGAACATGTGAAACTTGAAGTATATTTAATTGAGAAATGATTCAGCTCCACTGGTTCGAATCGCTCGTCAAATGAGTTCTGTATGAGGCAACTAAACACCACCGAAACATATTTTGCTCATTCTGTCGCTTTCAGTAGTATATAACCAGTACTACTATTTTTAGTTTGAATACTGATATTTTCTATTTTGAACAAGTTGCATTTATTCATTGTATGTTTTCTTTTTTTCAATTTCTTCCTTTCTTTTTTAAAAAAAAACAACTAAAAGTTTAACGGCAATGAAAAATAAAGCTGTGAAACCGAATATTTTTGTTATGGATTTAGTATTGTTACAAGTTATATTCCCGATTATCAGTGGTATAACTGGATGGCCATTTATGTCGGGTACAACAGTGAGAACTCTTAGCAATCTTGTGGCATTAGTTAAAATGGATCAAAGTCCTGCACCGGGTATGCCTCATAAGTAAGTAGTCAAGTTTATTTTTATCAAAATATAATATTATTTTATTATGCATGCTGCACGTAAACATGTCAGTTGAAATGCTTTGAACTATTACGAATTTACCTTAGTCAGTGAACGAGAGTGAGGATCGAGGATCCGGCGACACGACATGCTACTCGAATCCAACTGGCCCAAACCTTCATTAAGTAGACGAAGAAGACTTGCTATGAAGTAGAACATGCATTCTACAAGCATCCAGAAAGTATGAGATCTGAGTTCAGAAGAGAACTATGTCATAAAATGTTCCAGATAATGCGTATTTATACAGTTTAGGAAACAACATTGACAGTCAGGATGACCTTAATATGAACCATTAGGAATTGATCAATAGAATCAGGCTTAAAAAAATAATTCTCTTACGACATTTGATGAATATCCTAACAAATTTAAACAGATTTTTTAATTGTAACAAAATATGTCAACAATTTATCCTGTACTAATCATTTCACTAGGGGATTTATTATCATTCGTCCTATTTCAATGTAGATTTTTATTCCTTGCTAATATTTATTCGTAATGGTAACTGCTATATAGTCGTGCTCACTAATGACTAGCTTTGTGTTGAAATTCTCGGAGTTCAAACCTATCGGGTGTAGTCAGTCAATTACAACGCAGGACTTCGTACGTATGTACGTACATCAGTTGAAGTTGCCATATCACTATAGTGCAGAGGCGCAATTGTCAAGAGAGAGAGTGAGAGAGATTAGGGTTCAATGATATTATTCAAGAAGTAGAATCTAATAAAATGAACTGAAAAAAAGATTAGGGAATTCAGAAGATTAAGATTTCAGAGAACACAAAGGATGGATTTACCTGCGCCAATGCAAACGGTTTTAAGCCATGTCATTCAAAGTCTCTAACCATCGATTACCCCAACCAGGTTGTCGACACCTGTCATCATGACTCAGTCCACTTGTCAGTGAATTCATGGATTTGTGCCATGTTTAGGTGTGGAAGCCACTAGCTATCTTCCAAAATATTTCTACGTCACAAAACATAGCTTGATGAAGTAGTCGGTGATTGGGCATACGCAACACATGTCTCAACCACCTCAACTGATGAAGTTTCAATAAATCATCTGTTGATCTGCCATCTTTACGTGGGACCCGTTTTCCAACAACAGCTTACTCGCTTGTCTCAGGATACACGAGCAATGCTTCGGAGACACCTATGATCGAAAACCGACAACCTACGAATATCTTCTACTCTGACTGGCCATTTTTCACGGCCTTAAATTAGTACGGAACGATCTGCTGCGCAGTACACTCGTTCTCTGGTTAGCAAACGCATATCTCACCTGCGCCATAAGTGACGCAAGTTAGCAAAAGCCATTCAAGCCTTCTGAACCCGTGCTGAGATTTCGTCAGTCACGAGGTCATCAGCATTGATGAGACTCCCCAGATAAGTGAACCGGTCAACACGCATTTTGTCAGCGTCTTCACCAAGTAGAATTATATCTCCTCATAGAAGGTCCACTCCTGAAAAGTCAGACGAAGATCATGTTAACTCTAAAAGCATGTCTACAACAAAGTTAGACAAGAATGGATAAAGTGGAAAAACTTGACAAACACCTGCTCTCTATTCTTGCGACTTGGGTTTGTAGATTTACTCTGTTGAAGAGCCTCATACTGGGATCAAGTTACCGTCCAGGCCTTCTTAGTTTCTAATGGTGATCCAACAATGGTTGATTCATGATTACCATGACAAACAACAATATTCATTACTCAATGATGAAAAAGAAAATTCATTGTCATTTTCCCAGGTTTAATGTCAATTTTAATTTCTTGCTGACATTTATTCTTAATGGAAACTGTATAGGAATGTTCTTTTATGCTTTTCAAGCATTAATGCTGATGAAAAAGACGTCCCTAAGAAGGACTTTAATGCCAGTTTTTTGTTGGAGATGTTAGATCCACGAAACTCTCTTGTTAAATGCCTTATTTTGGATTTCACGTTTGCGAGCATGGGCTGATCAGTTGACCTTGAGATTTGATTTCCCACTAGGAAAATCCTTGGCTGTGATTGGATGCTGTGTATTTTAGTGTGCTATTTTCGTGACTGTCCCAAAGACGTTTCTATGATGTAGAAATGAACGGGAGTTGTGTGCTTGATTGTGTATTGTGATTGCTGGGTGTTTGTAGAATATACTTTCTACGCTTACAATGTCTTCTATCTTCAGCTTGGGATTCAAGGTAGCCTATCTGGACGCTGGTAGTTGTCTCGTTCACGTTTATTGACTAAGGTGAACTCGTGATAGCTCCAAGCGTACCTAGTGACGAACCCTACATTTTTATCTCCGTATTTGTTTTATACATTGTGAAGTTTTCATGAAGCGTTGTATTACATAGAAGGAGGGTTATGCTTTAGTCGAAAACACTCACAACATTTGCAACATGTATAAATCATTGAATTTATGAGCCATAAGATATGTAGGTATTTAATTATCATCAATAATACGATCAGATTATTTTGAACAAAAAAAATTCAAATCATCAATCAAACATTTCTTTTCAATTTTCATGTCACTAATTAGATTTTACGTATCATCAGTGTTGTTTCACGATTATGTGTTGACATTTCACGAGAAAATTATCATATCATACACTATAATGCAGGTTACAAGTGAACGTTTGTTGAAAAATTTCATCTCGAATTGGACATTATCATCGATATATATATATATATATATATATATATATATATATATATAGTCAAACAAAAACAAAGCATTAGTGGCAGTTAATGGAAATTTTAGTTTCAATATTAAGTTATCAAAGTAACTGAATGATTGATATTTTTAATCATCTTGTCATTAGACTCTACAGATATCAGTACGTATATATTTATACATAAGGCCATCATAATAATTACCTTGACCACACAGCCCATAATAAGATACTTTGTATATTGATACAACGATATTACTAGTTTTCGGGTAGAGTTTTGGAGGTTTTGTGTTTTTACACATTTGAAATTATCAATCAATCATTGTTAGACCACCATTAGAAACCTGGCAGCACTGGACAGCCGTTTCGTCCTGATATGGGACTCATCAATGACAGTGCGCATCCACGTCTCCTGCTCCTCGCAGGGTTCGAACCCGAGACCTTTGGTATTGTGTGCGAACGCCTAACTATTGAACCACTGGGCCGGCACCCAACGATGTTACTTTTTCTAACTCTGATTGATTAACTTTGATTTGATTTTTGCGCGACCTCACCCATTACTGTTAGTATCACCATTGCCAATAGAAAATGCCTCCTACTAGGGATTTTGTCCACATGATGTATTAATTAAAGGTGGACGGACACCTTACTTACTGTGAATCATTCTGACCTTGATGAAATGATTTGTTCAAATTTACTACAAATACCCCGAAATCTTGAATATATTTTTATACTGGAATAGTTGCAAATGTTCACCACATATTTTGTTTTAAAAAAAACACTATACATTGTCTAATCCATCAATACATATGACGCCTGCCTTATAGCATTGGCCATTGTTATAAAATAAATAACCCAGTAATTATGTAGACTGATAATTTGTAAAGCTTAATAAGAAAGATTTTTTTTTAAATGATTGATTGATTGATCGATCAACTGATTGACCACTTGATCAAATATTCATTCAATGGGCAGATTTTAAAATTACTAATAGAGTTTTTTTTCAAAATAGATCTTTGCTACTTATTTATTATTTGCACAGTTCTCTCAATAAAAATAATGTATTTGTTTGCTGCAGAGAAGAAGAAAATTCATTCATAATTATTTATTCATAATCTAATGGTTCCTTTTGATGATGTCTCTTTAACTTATATTACTTGGCTTGATATAGAGTAGTAGTTCGATATGGATTGTGTGTTTTTGTTTGATATTTTTTTTTGAGACAAAAATTTTTATCCACTCTACTTGAATCGAGTCCTCAGACATTTCAACTTTTTTTTGGTCATGTTTTTGGTATTTGATAATGAGACTTTTTAATAGCTACTATTGCTTATCTATTTAGACTACCTTAACTAATAGTTTGTGTAAAATAATCTTCATAAAATGCAGTATCATTTAGACTATACACAATAAGTGTAATCGATGGTTAGGAGACCTTGAATGACATGGCTCAAAACCGGCTGCAATGACGCCGGTGCATCCATTCTATGTGTTGTCTCAAATCCTAATCCTATGGATTCTTCGTCATCTTTATCTTTCTCTTTTTAGGTGATAATAATTGATGGTTAGAGACTCTGAATGACATGGCTGCAAACCGTTCACAATGGCGCAGGTGCATTCATTCTTTCAAATCATTCTCTCAAATCCTAAGCTGTTTCTTTCTAAGTTTATTTCACTAGATTCTACTTCGTAAATAATATCCTCAAAGACTAATCTTTCAGATTACTGCTAATACTTCTGCTACCCATATTTCTATGGGATTTGAATTGACAACTGCATCTCTGTGTTAATGTGGTATGGCTATACGAACTGATGTACGTACATACGTACGAAGTTCTACTGACAGACTGACTGACTGACATAATAAGTACTGTTTCATATAACAGTCTTTGATATTAGAAGAAACTTTTTTCATTGTAAACTGACTTAATATATGTGATATGTAGAATTTTTCATCGTAATCACACAGTTTACGCTTAGTTTTTTTCTGGAATGTTTAAAAATAAAAATGTATCCTTCTTTTTTTTCATTTATAGAATTGTAGGAACAGTAGAACAGCGAGTTAGTGGTGTATTTGTCGGTATACTAGTTGCACTTTCAATATTTCTCGGTTCAATATTAAGCAATATTCCATTGGCTGCATTGTATGGCATGTTTCTCTACATGGGTGTAATGGGACTGCGTGATTTAACATTCGTACTAAGAATATGCTCACTGATGAAACGTCGTAAACACTGGGAAGATTGGGAATGTGTTCGTGGCCTGCCGAGTAAACATATCCTTGTATTCTCGTTGATTCAAGCCGCTGTTGTCTTGATTCTAGTTTCATTGAATATCATATCAGATTTCACGGAAGCCAATTATGTTGGTCTTATTTTCCCTATTGTTATACTCATCTATAGCCTTATTCGTGAATTTGCTTTGCCAAAATGGGAATGGTTAGCGTTATATTTACATCAAGTATGCCTTTATATATATATATGTCTTCGTATATAAAATGTCTTCATTAACTTTTCATTAGTTTTAATCGATATATATATGTATAAATAATCATCATTTCAGTTTTTATTGGTTCACATTCTCTAAAAATATTCTACTAACTCACTTTGATAATTTCTTGTTCACTCGCACTATTAACTTTCTCCACCCTAACTTGATTTTAGAAAAAAGAAATAGTTAACTAACTCTGAATATCTCAAATACATAAATGAAATTTTTCTATTAAAAAAAAAATAACATTTTTCGACTGAAATATTTATTATTCAAAAGATGATAATAATATTGGCAAGGGGGGAAACAGTATTTCTCTTCTTCCATATATATTGATCCTAGTGATTGACGATTGGATAATGAAGACGTCAACATTTGGGGGGAAGCATAGTGTACAGTGGACTGCTAGGATGCAGCTGGACAATCTGGATTTTGCAGATGACCTGACTCTTCTATCCCACAAACAAAAACAAATGCAACAGAAGATGATCAGTGTAGCAGCAGTCTCTGCAGCAGTAGGTCTCAACATACATAAAGGAAAAAGCAAACTTCTCCAATGCAACACAACACGCACCGACCAAATCACTCTTGATGGGGATGCCTTGGAGGACGTTAACACCTTTACATATATGGGCAGCATCATTGACAAGTAGGGTGGATCCGATGCAGATGTGAAGGCACGGATCGGCAAAGCAGTGGCTGAATTTCTGCAACTAACCAACATCTGGAACTCAAAACAAATGTCACTCAACGCAAAAGTCACTATTTTCAATACAAATATCAAGTCAGTTCTATTGTATGCGACAGAAACTTGGAGAACTATCAAAACCATCATCACGAAGGTAGAAATATTTAATAACAGTTATCTACGCAGAATACTTCGGATCCGTTGGTCAGGTACCATCAGCAACAACTTACTGTGGTAGAGAACACACTAGATTCCGGCGAAGATGGAAATCAGGAAGAAGCGGTGGAAGTGGATAGGACACACACTACGAAAAGCACCCAACTGCGTCACAAGACAAGCCCTCACTTGTAACCCTCAAGGTCAAAGGGTAAAGAGGAAGACCAAGGAACACATTACGCCGAGAAATAGAGAAAGATATGAGAAGAATTAACAAAAATTTAACAGAACTGGAAAGGGAGGATTAGGACACAGTAGGTCGGAGAATAATGGTCGGAGGCCTATGTTCCATCCAGGGTAACAGGTGTGAGTAAGTAATGTTGATCTTTGTGATGGAATAATCACCTTATACTGAATAATAACTATCTTCTTACTAAACTTACTTAATTTCATACAAAATACCAAATATTACAGACTTGTTACAATTATTAATTACGTATAAAGTATTCGCAAACAATGGACGATTATTGTTGATTTGAAATAACAAAGCGTTTATTTATATATGTATATGTCAAGACAGTTCAATGAAGAGAATTTTGTTTTTTCGGCATTGTCTCATTTATCTAAACTATAAAACTGTATGTAAGTAAAAATTTAAATTTTTAAGTTATGTGGCAATTGAAGTATGAAATTATACACATATATGTATATAAAATATTAAAAATATAGCGAAGTGTAAAAGATCGATTTCCCTCTCTATGAATAAGAAAAGAATATGTCGAAAATTACAATCGGTTCAAGTCAATGCGAGCTAACACACATAGATAGAGCACAATGATTTTTGGAACATTCAAAAAACCAAGATTTACTGAATAACGAACCTAGAATCTTAGCAGTCAGGTCAATCAGCAATTCAGAAACACATCGACGTTGAACCAATTTATCAACCGATCGAAAATATCGTAGACGCTCATACGATCAAGAAATAGATCGAAGGGAAATGCAATCAAACTAAAGGCACAGACTACGACACGCTTAGGGTCAATAACAACGAATCAAGGTTGAGGTCAACAATAACAAGCTACGGGTTGAATGTGGAGAAATTTGAATACTTCAAGTCTACCTGAAGCTTGTACCTGATGATGCTGTTGTTCAGAAGGAGAAAAATCAAAGCTTGGCACAACCAAAACACTCAGTTCAGAGACTGATACTCCAACACAATCTAATCATTAGAATAGACTCATTCCTTATGAATACAACTTTTTCTAAAGTCACTATGTTCAGCTTTGAGGATAATTTTGAAACAAAAAAAACATTCTGATCATTTCTGTTCACCTATCTTCATTAAACTTTATTCCTGTTAGGGATATTTAATAATAGGTAACCTAAAGTTTTAAGTTAACTTAACAGCTTTAAGTTGATTTTTATAGGTAGAATCCAATAAACTTTGGTTTTTAAAAAAAAACGTTTGAAAAAAGGTATATTAAACATTTCCAATGATTATTCAATGTAAAAGTTACTTGACTGAAATTGTGAATCCATCGATGTAAGACAACCATTAGAAACCTGGAAGCACTGAAACAAGGCCGTTTCATCCTGTTAAGGGATGCATCTGCAGTGTGCATCCGCGACTCATGCATTTTACAGGATTCGAACCTCTGGACCACTAGGCCAGCATCCAATGGTGTTAATGTCTAACTTCATTTAATCCACAGTCTTGTGCAACCTCATCCACTGTCTTCAGCAGGCATTGTATCACACCAGGACAAGATTGAACTCCACTGGTCATGATTTCTCACTTCTTTCACGGCCGTCCAATGCTTCGAGGTTTCTAATGGTTGTCTAACGTTTGTCGGTTCATAATTTTAATAAAGTTACTTTACAATCTCCTCAACTTTATTACACAATATGAGAGTATGTAATTACGAAATTTTTAATCGCATAGTAACAAACTAGAAATGATGTATCAAGTTTATTACAAATTTTAACTAATAACTAGTCAATTTACAAAAGTTATTTACCAGCGTAACAGTATATTATTGAAGAAAGAATACTACACTTACCTTCCAAATATTTTCTTTCATGATTACTAGATATCTTAATCCTTAAGAAAATTTTATTTAAACTTTGTTTTAAGGTTTTAATTTAAAAGTGTTTTTTTTCCTCTTAAAAATTAAAATATAGTCAAACCGTTCATCGTTGACAATAATTCATTTTTAATACTGATCAACAACTATACCAGTTGAACGTTGAAAATGTACCATGTGAATAGTAAATCTAGATGATCTTTCAAAAATAGGATATTTAGAACGTCTGGAAGTTAGAAAATTGGCTAAAAGTTTGGTTTAACTTGTTGTTTTCTTATATTTCTAGTAATAATTTGGTCATGATGTAATTCAAAAGTTTTGAAAAAAATAGTTATTCAGCTAAATAATTTGTTCAGACTATCGATTAGTTTATATTAGACATGGTCTATGTCACCGGCCAAATCCAAGTTTGGAAACCACTGAAAACGATGGAACACTAGTTAGGTACTTTGTCCTAGTGTAGAACTATTCATCAGTGTGTATACATTCCCTGTTCACTTAGCAGTCTGATAGTAAAGTAATCATTGTAAGACCTGCAGGTTCCGGTTCCTGTACTCAATGGAATCAAGGGCTACACACCGATGAGTAGT